TTTTTATAATAAGAATCAGGCGCTAAACACGCATGGGTCACGCATCAGTACTGATGGACCTGTTTATTTTAGCCATGAGAAGACAGCGTCGTGTAGCCTCGTATATTTAACACTGACACAGGCGTATTGCCTTGTAATGATATAAATCCTAAGTTTATCACATATCAGTGTAAGTTCGTGGGGAGAGACGTCCAGTATTGTTGACATGTGTGAATCACTTGACTTAAATCACCTGATGCAAAACTTTATCCACCCATCGTTGAACATCCATTGATTTTCAACGCATTAAATAACGAAGGATAACTATTCCTATCTTTGTACAATGAATAATATTCTTCACAAAAGCTAACATTATGTTGACTCACTCTCATACTACAAAAAAAAAAAAATTAAGTCGATTTTATATATTTGATGTGCTCCTGAATTTATTGTTTTTCGCAACTAATAAACCAGCGAAAGAGTAAATGCACCGAGAGATGCATATTTCTGTGTATATATGCTGAGATGAAGAATTAGACACATGAGCAACATCTGGGTATCTTTATTTGTAGAGTTTCGCCATCCAGTGGCTTTATCAATACAAATTCCAGGATATAATGGGAAGAGTGTAGAACAGTATACAAAAGACGAAGTAATCAGTCCCTCATCCTTGAATTTGGATTAATAAAACCAATGGATGGCGAAACAAGATGAAGAAGTAGACACATGTATCGACAAGAAGTATCGACAAGATGAAGAATCGACAAGATTAAGAATTAGACACTTGTTACACAAGTGTCTAATTCTTCATCTTGTCGATACAGTATACCATTCATGTACATATATACTGAGAGTTTACTTTAATTCCTATTTTAGGGATTAAAGTATTATTGACTAGTGGTGTACATTGTAATACATTTGACCCATTGCAGTCGACAGACTAAGTTTCCTAATCTTGCAGGGAGGTTCTCTTGAGAAATTGGAACCGTTTTCCCCACCCTTAGACCGAACCTGAATATTTTCCATTCTCGCAAGCGCTATCTTACCTCTGTGGGTTTAGCGATTTCCGTTAACATAATATTTCAAGCTGACATAAGCAGCAAGTGGCAGCACCTTGAGGTTACAAGACGGAGGGATGCTGGTGCTGAGGCAGTGTTGGTGTTGGTGTCGCACCGCCATGATCGTCACCGCAGCTCTTATTTTTCTCGCCCTAGTGGCGGGTATTTCTGCAGGTCAGTCTCACTAACCGTTATTTCAGACTGTTAGTCACATTACTGTCATTCTCACTTATGTATAGTTATCAATTTCCTGCGAAAAAAATAAATATTTTTCAAGTTTTGATGTCGAGACTGACGTTTCCGTCACCTATAGTCTCATCCTAGCCATTCAATTTTGTTCTCTTCGTTTATTCTCCCTACAGACCTCTTTTTCCTTCACTACATAAAGGGAACTCCCTTAACTTCATGCACACTTTAAGGCACCTCCTTTCCCTTCCCATGTTAATGAGCCTTCCCCTCCCTTCACATTTGTAAGGTATCTCCCAATTCCAGGGTACACTAAGGATCCTGACGCCTCTGTCTAAGACTACAGAAATTCAGAATTCGTGCCTTCATTCACATGAATTAATACCCAGTTAGTAACTGTCAGTTATTGCAATATATTGCACTTAACTTTTCTCCAGTCATCCACATCTGCCACGCCCTGGTTATGCTGTGGTAAACTATACCGATAGTATGTAATTTAAAGACAAAATATGGGTTATGCTTTTTTTTTTTGAAGATATTCCGTCCAACAATGACTTATCAATTTACACAGTGAATGATAAGGGATGTGTATTTACCGTAATACCCAGTGAACAAAACGTCTTCATAATAAAATAATATAACTTAACAATCTAAGAGATTCTAAATTTGGAATAAGTATCTGTATCGTCTAAAAGATTATTCATTTTATCTTAGTAATCAGTTTCTTTCAAAATTATTACTGCGTTTATTTTGTCTGCTTTAGTATGATACAAATTTTTATAACTAACAAGATTTTCATAAGACTAAAAAAACTTTTGAGGGCAATTGGGAATATTTTGTTTCATCATAAAACTATAAACCACCTCCTTACTTATATTAATTTCATCACAGGATAAATCAGTGGGTTTTTCTGTTACAAAAGTTGCAAAATATTTTTGTAACTTAGAAAAATGCACTGATTTATCCTGTGGTGAAATTAATATAAATAAGGGGGTGGTTTATAGTTCTATGATAAAACAAATACTCCCAATTGCCCCTCCGAGATTTTGTAAGTCTTATGAAAATTTCATTTGTAACAAATTTGCATATTACTAAACCAGAAAAAGTAAAATGAATAATATTTTTGATTGACACAGATACTTATTCCAGACTTATAAAAAATCCCTTAGATTCTTTTAACAGTAATTTTACTAAAACAGTGAAACGACTACTGAAAGGCAAAGATGAACTAATTAAAAAAATTATGACCACCATTCTATTTTTAGCATATATATATGAATTAATAAAAACACACACAAACCAGGTAATCCAGCCAGATCCATTATTAGCCCCATAGGTTCAGATTCCAATATATTATCTAAATGGCTAGTAGATGTGTTGAGCCCAATTGTTGGTAAAATTTCTAACGTTAATGTTAAACATAAGATATATTTAGTTGATAAATTATTAAAGTCCACGATTGATTTAAATGATTACAATATGGTTAGTTTTGATGTTGCTTCTTTGTTTACAAAAGTTCCAGTTGGTGATTTATTAAATTTCCTATCCGAGAACTTATTAATTACGATTTACCATTCCTAGTATCTACAGTCACTGAACTTGTTTTAACTCTGTATGGTTGATGCAAAGTTTTTGCACTCAGAAGTTTTGTATGGCAGTGGGAAAAACTCTCACTTGACCTTAGCAATTTCCACACACGCAACACACACACACAACATACACACCACACAAACAGCACACCTATAGCACACACACACACAACACACACGTACAACACACATATACAACATACACCTACAACACACAACACACAACACACACAACACACACACAACACACACACACACACACAACACACACACACACACAACACACACAACACACACACAACACACACACACAACACACACACAAACACACACACACAACACACACAACACGCACACAACACGCACACAACACAACAAACACACACACACACAACACCACACACACACACACACACACAACCCCCAAACACACACACACACACACACACACACCACAACAAAAACACACAGAACGGGAAAGGCGGGACGAATAACCCAAACACAAAAAAGGGGACAACAGGAATGAGGAACTACCTGAAGGGGTTCAGGGGACAGAGAACGGGGCGGGGAGCCGTTAATGAGATGATGGAATATTTACAACAAAATAAAGGAGGCTGAGAGGTTTGTCCCCAAGGGTAACAGGAAAATAAAAAACCCGGGATGGCCATGGTTTCCCCAAAGGTGCAGGGAGGCAAAAAACCAGGTCTAGGGAATGGAAGAAATTAGAAGGCAAAGGCCCCGGGAAAATAAGGAAAAACAGTCGTAGAGCCAGAAACAAATATGCACGATAAAAGGGAGGCCCAAAGACAATAGAAAATGACATAGCAGCAAAAAGCAAATCTGACCCAAAAATTTTGTACAGCCAATCGGGAGGGGAAAACAACAGTCAGGACCGGGTAAACAGGCTAAGGAAGGAAGGAGGGGGGACAAAAGAAATACCGTGAAGTATGTGAAACCACAAGATATTCAAAGAAGTGTTCACAGAAACAGAAAGGGGCTCAGAAAACGGAGAGGTGGGGACCCCCAAGGCTGGACACAGTGCACACAAACCCAGGAAAAAGGAAGGGTTCTGGGGAGCTAGATACCTCAAAGGCAATGGGGCCAGATAAAACTCCCAGGGATTGAGAGGGGGAGCAAGGCCTAGTGTACCCCTAACAACAATTTAAAACATTACGAAACAGGGGATTGCCTGAGGGTGGAAGACGCAAATGTTCCCAATTTAAAAAAGAGACAGACAGAAGCTTAAAATACAGACCCGTGTCATGACAGTATGATGCAAAATCATGGAGAAGTTTCAGGAGAAGAGTGGGTGAAACACCAAAAGGAAAAAGATCTCTCAACGCGCCCATGGTTTTGGGGACGGAATCCCGTGTCACAAACCTACTGGAGTTTTATGATGGTGACAGCAGTAAGACAAGAGAGAGAGGGGTGGGTGGATTGCATTTTTTTGGACTGCAAGAAGGCGTTTTTCCAGTTCCAACCCAAAAGATTGGTGCAAAAGGGGACCAGCAGGGGAAAAAGGGAAGGCACTACAATGGATCAGGGAATACTTTAGGAAACAGAGCGAGTCATTTTACGTGGCGAGGTGCAAGTGGGCCCCGGCCCCGGGGGTCCCGAGGGGTCGTCCTAGACCAGTGCTGTTTTGGTATTTGTGAACGACATGCGAAGGGAAAAGACTCTGAGGTGTCCCTGTTTGCAGATGAGTGGTTGATGAGAAAATTCACTCGATCGAAAACCAGGCAGAATACAAAAAGGGGTTGGACAGGGGCAGACCTGGTCCCCCAATTGGCTCCCGGGTTTTAAACCCCCCAAAATGCAAAGTCATGAAGATTGGGGAGGGGAAGAAAGGGCCCCGCGGAGTCGTCTAGGGGGGGCAAAAAAACCCCAAAAATTAGAGAGGAAGACAAGGGGGTGGCCCAAAACAATTAATTACAAAAGAAAAAAGGGGAAACCAGTGGAAGCTAAGAAAGTAAACCCAAAGGAGGGGAAGATTTTTTTCGCCCAGGTATCAGAAAGTGGAAAATTTGGGGAAAGGGATTATGGGGAGGTACACTTAAGGAAAGGAAAAGCCCCTTCAGGGGGGCCCCATGGTCAGGGGAAGAGGGGGGGCCGGGACCGGAGCCCCCCGAACCCAAAGGGGGGGTGGTGATCACAAACCAAAAAGGGGGTAACAGTTCCCCCCCAAAAATTGGGGGCAAAAAAAACAACAAAAACAAAAACCCCAACAAACAAAAACCCCAAAAAAAAAACACACAAAACCCAAAAAAAACCCAAAATTTCCCCAAAAACCCCCCAACACCCCAAAAAACACAACAAAAAAAAAAAAAAACCCCCCCAAAACAAAAAAAAACCACCAAAAACCCCAAAACCCAACCACAAAAAAAACCCCCCACCCCAAACCCCCAAAAAACCCCCCAAAACCCCCAACAAACAAAAAAAAACAAACCCCCCCAAAAAAAAAAAACCCCAAACAAAAACCCACCAAAAAAAACTAAAAAAATAAACAAAAACCCAAAAACCCCCAAACCCCAAAAAAAAACAAACCCCAAAAACTCCACAAAAAACCCCACAAACCCCAAACACACCAACACAAAAACAAAAACCCCAACCCCAAAAAAAACCAAAAAAACCCACCAAAAACCAACCACCCCAAACACGGGGGGCCCGAAACAGGGCCAAGATAGGGGGATTTAAAATTCTCAAAGTAGGGAAAAAACCCAAAAGAAGGGGAGGAGAGAGAAGGGGGGCCCTTGGTTTAAAACCCTGGGGTTACAGGGACAACTTCAAGGGGTTTGGACGGGCCAGGGGCCCATTTTTGACTAAAGAGATTAAAAGGGAAAAGGGAAAAGGAAGAAGGGAAAAAAGGGGAAAATTAAAAAGGGGGGGACTTAAAACAAAAGGTATGAAAGGGAAAGGAAAACTTTTTCCCCCTTTGAGGGGGGTTTTCCCAAAG